CCAAATAGAGCTAACTAAAACAGCTGCTGAACAAGCTGGACTAATCTTAAATATAAATAAAACCAAAACCATGGTATTTGGAGACAGGAATATCGATAATAGTATCCAAGTAGCAGGAAACACCATAGAAAACGTGGAAAAATTTGAATATCTAGGCAGTCTGCTGACATGGGATAATAACTGTTCAGAGGAAATAAAAAGGAGAATAGGAAAAGCGACAGGTGCAATGGCTTCTTTGAGACACATATGGAATAGCAAGAAACTGAAGCTAGAAAATAAATTTAGAATCCTAACCACATGTGTGTTCAGTGTCCTATTATACGCGTCAGAGACATGGACCCTAAAAGAAGCAGACAGGAAAAAACTATTGGCATTCGAAATGAAATGTTACCGACGGGTTCTAAGAATTAATTGGCAAGATATGGTACGAAACGAAGATATCAGGAAAAAGATATCAAAGGAAGAGACCATAATAGACATCATCAAGAAGAGAAAACTAAGGTTATTTGGCCACATCTGCAGAATGGACGACAGTAGATTAATAAAACATCTAATATTTGGTAAAATGGACGGAAAATCTCGAAAGGGGCGTCCATGCAGAGAATGGCTGGATGACATAACAGAATGGTGTCAACGCAGTGGACATGACCTGTTCCAACTTGCGCAAGATCGACGGGCATGGAAAAATCTGATCCCGTAAATGGTTGGCCCCAACGGGCACTAAGCCTAAGGGACATGATGATGATGATGATGATGACGATGATGAATGTATTCATTAGAAAATAATCTTTATCTTCCATTTCGGATATTCTTTGAAACTGTATACTTTACATGAAGATCATTATTTTTTCAAGAGCTATACTTACCAGCGAAAAATGTTTTGATCTGTTGCATTATTCCAACGTTAACAGTTGTTATATCTGTATGTTTCTTCTCATCAATATTAGCTAAATAATTTTTTCAGATATTATTTCATGATCAAAAATCATGTATTTATTAAGCGATCTTTATACTATTCAAGAAGATTAGAAAATATTTCGATTGAATATTGATGATCATCTCAAAACTGTACTTTATTACTCACCGGATGCACAGTCATCAGAACGATTATTAATAGATTAACTCATTTGTGCAATTATTCAAAACAACGTATACACATATTTTCTTGATAGATTTTGATGCAAAAAAAAAGAATATAAGTCTTCCTTGTAATGGTGTGTGTATGAATAAGATAAGAGTTTATCTTTGTGTTGAATAAAGATGACAAACAACTGAGTAAACAGCAACTATGTGAATATATAAAACATGATGAATGTTTATCTAAGCCAAAAGAATTCTTTATTATCTCATATTTACCATATTCATCATTATTAAGCCCCCCCCCCTT